GCTCACCTCAGAAAAACAAAAATAAAAGGGCCAGGAAAATCCTCACAGATCTTAAGTCCAAAAACAACCATTAGGACCATATTGTCTGATACACAGCTAACTACATATTTCATGCAGATATGCCTGCATTGAGGTCGATTGCTTGTGCTCGAACTGGAACTTATGTTTTAGAAAGACATCCAAATGAAGACTTCAAATAACAGAAATTTACCATATCCTTTAGCAATCTGTCTCAGTGATTAATCATTTTTATTGTTTAAAAACTTGCTCCTCATTTCCAGTATGAATTATTCTTGTTACCAGCCACTGCATCTTGTATCTGTCTGCCAAGTTAGAGTCCTATCTACTGCCTCTGTAGGCTCCTTCAGACTGTGACTGAGTCACCTCTTTTGTTCTCTTTAATAAGTTAAGCAAACTGAACTCCTTTAAATTCCTTACAGTAAGCTGCTTTTTTCATATCTCAAATAATTCTTTGCACCTTTTACCAAAGTCCATCTAATTTTTCAATGCCTTTTTCAAAGTATGGATGCAAAACTGGCTACAGTATTCTAGAACTGGTCTCACTAGCACTCTACACAGATGCAATATTATCTCCATACTCCTTCTTGATAATATCCCTGCTTATACATCTGGGGTCTTATTAACCCACAGCATTACACTAGCAATTCCTGTTCAGCAGTTGGTTACCTACCATGGCCACCCACAATCTTTGAAAACCACTGTTTTCTTGGATACAGCTTCTCTTCCTGTATGACTCGCATTCTCTTAATAGAAATGAAAACTTACATCCAGATATTTTAATATTAGTGTCAGCGTTCAGTGTTAGAGTTTCTCTCTCCCTTGAAACTGAAAGAGCCCTCATTATTGAAAACAAAACAAATCTGACTCCAAGAACTCCTTCTGCCTCAAGGACTCCACAATAAAACAGGCCACAGTAACTGTACTCCATGGTGGGCCTAGCCATGAGTGCGTAGTTGGGTAAAAAAGGGTGTGGACAAAACAGCCCATAGACTAACTACAAATTACAGTTACAAACTGCAAACTGCAAATTACAGTTGCCTTTTAGATTAATCTTAATCATGCCACTGACAACACCAACTTTGGCTAGGTCCAGGATTAGGGGTCCAAAAAGTAATTTAAAGCCAATTTTGCTCCCCATTTGTCTTCTACCAATTGCAGCTCAACTGGACCACATATCTGACTCAGACATTAGTTTAGAAGACTTACCCTTTCAATCAGTCTCATCTAGCCTTCTGATGACTCACAAGAGTCTCCCTAGAGCTTTGAGGTGTTTTTTATATTGTTTTCATTGCTTGCAATGACATTTGCAGAAATATCTACCAATGACTGACTTCAAAGCAGGCTACTTTAACATGCTAGTCTCTCTTTGACCCTGAGTGATGCACTGATGTAGGGTTTGAAAATGGTAAGTGGTGTTCCTTCTTTTTTAGATGTTATACCTTCAAAAGAAACAAGTGCAGTGGTGTATGAGAGAGAGGAGTTGAAACAACTGAAGCACAAGTGCCAAGGTAAGTGCCAGGGCACTAAACAGAAAAATTCAGCACTGATTAGGGTTTTATTTGATAAAGGTGTAGTGTGGTCATGCACAAACTCATTTGACAAGTACAGCAATACTTGTGCTAAAACATTAAGAAGTCAAAGAAAATCCCTCACTGGTACTGGGGTATTTTTTTACAAATGTGCCAGGAAAAATACCAAAGCACATTTATTTGCATTACAGTATAGAAGCAGATAGAAAATTACAGATCTAAATATCCACTGAAAAAACAAACTGGAACATTCAGATTTATTAATTTTAAAATACCCAATTTTTACACTGGGGAGGAAAACAGTGCAATGGCCAGCTGAAGGACTGACTTGTGTCCTACTCTTTTATCACTACCACCAAGAGTAAAAATAACTTGTAATAGTCCAGGGAGTTCTACCAGTCTTGGGCTGAGAAAAGTGAAAATAAGGCAGAGATGGTAAATTTTATTGAGAGAATGTCTTTATATCTTTTAAACCAGAAGTGTCAGATGAGGGTCAAATGAGTGGTGTATGACTAATCCATAAGCAGGATGAGTGGTGTAGGAACAGCCCCACAGGCCAGAATATGACTATGGCCTAGGGGTGTGCAAAACGGGCCGTATTTGATTCAGATTTAGATTCAGCCCAAATTGGGGACAGTGATTTGATTTATTGATTTGGATCACTATCCCGATTCGATTCGTCTGAATCTGAATCTGAAGATTTGATCCTGATTCAAAGAATCAGTGATTTGGCCACAGGCACAGATTTAAATGTTTTTTCTACATACCTTGAGGTACCAGGTGCGGCTCGTGAATGCTGTGATGGTGGGGTGAATGAGGCGTCCCACAGGAGCATGGAGCCCTGGGACCCAGCATCCCATGGGCTTGGTTGCTGCTGCCAGAACATACTGCAGTGCCAGGCTTCTGTTCATGGTGCTGCTGGCAGTACAACACTGTAGCATTTCCCAGCCTGCCTGCCAAGCGCTTGGGAGAACACCACAGGAAGAAGCCTGGCATTGTGGGCACTTGCTTGCTACTGCAGGAACAAGTCATGTTGTTGTGGCAGCTCCAACTCCATGGGCCTAGCCCAGGAGCTTGGCTGCTCCTGAGAGAAATTCCCCCATCAAAGCTGTGGGCTGGATGAACCAATTCTTTGGGTCCAATGACCTGGCTCTGCAGGCCAAATCCAGGCTACAGGACTTATGTTTGATACCCCTTTTAAAAAAATATTTTTAAACTTTTTTTTTTAGACATACACGGACCTACAGGAGTACCAATTATAAACTATTTTGGCATTAGAATGCCTTGAGCGACTTGCTCTGCTCTGCTCTGCAAGGTTTTTCTTCTCATGACCCACATAGGTAAGTTTACTCATAGGTAATTTTACTCATTTATGGACCTGAATATGGTGGTAATTCAGAGAGAGCATCAAAGGGGAAGCAAGGAACCCAGTAAATTCTTTTGAAGAGAATGAATCTGTTTCTTACCCTTCTTCAAGAAGAATCTGCACAATCTCGAGGTGCCCATTCCTAGCACCATACATCAAGGCTGTCCAACCATTTTCGGCTGTTGCATTAATAAGGGATGGAGAATGCTTAAGCAACGCTTTCAACCTAGCTGTGTCACCAGCAGAGGCAAAATTATGCAGCTGAGAAATCATCTGCTGCTTGAGGTTCCTTTCAAGGGATGTCATTATCTCAACTAGGTTGAAAAAACAGAAATGTGTCCAAAAACATATTCATGATACTTTTGATTTCACATAATTAAAAAAGAAGGATAAAGAAAACGAATACTACATTTATTTGCATACCACATACCTACAAATAAGAGAGACCTTGTTTTTGGAAGACAGTCTGTAGAAAAAGATTTTTCTAGAGTTATACCCAAGAGTTTACTGCATGCAGCAGCCTGCTCATCCCCAGCCAGCTCAGCGACACTTCAGCCAAAAGCTACTATTTCATCAGCAGCTGTGAGAGGGTTAACATGGGATGCTGTCCCTCCTGCCTGGTTCCCCAGGCAAAAGCGGGAGCCATTGTAGCACAGTGTCTCTATGTTTCTATTCCTGTAGGATTTTTTCCAGCAAGGAAAAATCAGCTTCCCTGCTAAAACATTAGCCCCATTTTTGGAGGGCTGATTTTAGAGAAAAAGTGTGTACTGAAAATGTGCCCAGATATTAAGAGAGCACCTTCAAATGATTCTTGATTGCCCGGGAGCTAGTCAGGGATGGTCATGGGTATGGAGCCATTATTTTAATTTTTTTTTTAATGAACCTAACCCATAAAAGAACAGATTTAACTTTCAAAAACATATCCAATCCCCCCAAATATACAAAGACAGACATTAATCTTGTATCAGCAGTGAGATGAGAGCTGCGTAACATCTCTTGTATCCTTTGCAGAAGCCATACAGCCCCGTTCAACTCTACAAGGGGCTGTTAGGTTCATCCTCCCAGATACCAACTCCAAACACTAATGGTGTGACATAACCGTGCGGGGCCCAAGATTTTGCAGAAGGTGGTTCCCAGTCATTGCATCTTGGCAGTGGTGTCACACAGGAAAAAAAAGAGGCACAGGCCTATACATGAAGCAGACTGGGTTAAACCTATTTGGTGCAAAGAGGAAACACAGGCATGTGCCAGCTCACAGTTACCCACCCCACCCACCGTTGTTGAGCTATCAGGTACATACTGACTGATTCCTTGGGACAGCTGAAATGATGTGAGGGTTAGAGGCCGATAACAAGTGCTCCAAGGCGGGGAGCCACCGAGATAAGGGTCAGGCCTATTTGCAGCATAAGGGTAAGGTGGGCCTTATGCCCGCAAAGCAATGGTTATCCAGAAGCCTTTATTCGAGGGGGCTTTTGGATGTGCATCAACTAAAATAATGGGAAAAATAAAAGATAAAGCAGGGACAGGAGCAAGGTATCAGATTTAAAACAGGTGCCCCTGGGGGGATGCTGAGCAGAGCCACCAGATAGCACCTGCCGCAGTGAGTCCAAGGAGGTGGCGGACACGGCCCCGTGAAAGTGCCCGGAGACGTGAGTGGCCAAGGGGCCTGTGCGCCAAGTAGATACAACCCCCTATCAGGGAGCCACTGGGGGCGCATCAGTGATGGCTTGGGGCAAAGAAAAGATACAGCAGGGACATGAGCGAAGGTCGGAAGGGCAAAGGCTTAAAACAAGCTCTCCCAAACCCTGCTGCACTGGAGGGGAGGGGAAAAGACCCCGAGCGGCGCATGCGCTGCCCCCGCAGTCGCGATGCGGTGCGGCGGCAAGAGCTGCCCTCTCCCGCCCGCGCACCCCCTGCAGGGAGGGGGCCCGAGCGCGGCCGTTACCGTGACGCGCCCCGCGCGCCGCCCGCCCGCGGGCCAGGAGGAGGAACGACGAATGCCCCCACTTCCGGTCAGGAGAAGCGGCCGCCAAGGCACTTCCTGTGCCGTTCGCCCCGCCGCGCTGCATTCTGGGAGCTGTAGTTCGCGTTACCGCGCCTGCCCAGCCCAGCCCGGCCCGTCCCCCAGGGCTGGGGGCAGCCCTTTCACCAGCGCCGGCCGGGCCCGGGGTGAGGGGGTCCTCTTTCTTTCTCTCTCTCTCTCTCTCTCTCTCTCTCTCTCTCTCTCTTTGCCCCCCCTACTTTCCTTTATTTCTTTCAGACTCTACCGGGAGGAACCAGCATTATGAATACAAAAGAAGCTGTACAAGGCGAGAGGCTTGGAGGCGCTGAAGTGGTGCTGCGCAGTCGTCTGGCCCTGTGGGCTCGACAGGCAGTGCAGGACCAGTCCGCGGGCCGGGTCAGGCCCGTGTGGCCCTGCTTGGCCCTGTGCCACACCGCCCCATGCAGCCCTGTTCTGCACTGCCCCGTGCCCCTCCGCACCGCCCTGATTCGCCCTGTGCCAGTCCACACTCCCTGTGCCGCCCTGATTAGCCCCAGGCTGCCCAGCCTGCCTCACTTAGCTGACTCCGCGTTGCCCTGCATGGCCTCGCTTAGCCTCACGCCACCCTGACCGGCCCCAGGCCCTCAGTCTCGTGCACAGGGCTGTACTATTCAGCTCTTTGGGCTCCCTCTGGGTTCAGAAATTTGACAGCAGGAGAGTGGCAATCGGCCACCACTGCTCTTCCCGCCACCACATTTTCAGAAGTCGGGGGGGAGTCCTGTGGGTTGGATAACATGACTTTGTGGGCTGGACCTGGCCCACAGGCCCAGGGTTGAACACTTCTACTCCAAGGTTAGGAATTAAGGGTGAAATCCTGGCCTGGCTGAAATCGGTGGGAGTTTTGCCACTGACTTCAGTGAGGCTAAGATTTTACCCCTAGGACCTAAGCTGGGCCTTGGCTGCAGAAAAGAAGCATGTAGTTCTGCGTGAAAGATGAAGCAGTTAATGACAAAAGCACTGGTCCCCCTTTTAATTCTGGCATTTTGTTTGTGCAGCATCTTTCTGATGGGATCCAGCAGCCCCTAGCTGGTTGGTAGATAGATACCAGCATCTTAGTTTGGTAGTGGGAAGGCAAAGAGAGGAAGATGCTTTCCCACAAGGTCACAGTGCTGCTAACAGCAGTGGTGGTATGGCCAGAGCACTTCTAGATGTCAATCTTCTTTCTTTCTGAATGCTTCATTATTACTTCTGCTTTTGTGAGATTATCCCCACTCACACAGGTCAGGGCTATCCAATTTGTAAGCAGTTGGGGGTTGAATGATCCCTGGGCTGTAGCTGGGTGAGTCATGGGTCCCATCCCCTCCGGCCACACACAGTGCCGAGGCCCCTCCCCTGCCAACATTGCTGTACCATGCACCCATGGCTCTCTTCCCCCTGCCCACTGCATCACACGTACTCCCATCTCAAGGCTGTGTGGCCCCCACCTCAAATCTGTTTGGCCCCAGCTCACCCTCAGCTGTGCTGCGCTGCACTATCCTGTCCCCTGGGAGGGGGCAGGCAGCAAAGCCAGAGGAGGGAAGGGAGCCCAGAGATCCTGGCTGCTGTTGCAGCCCCAGTTAATGGGGGGAGCAGCAGCAGGGCAGGAGTCTGGGAACCTCAACATAACCCCTATCAGTGTGCATGAGGCCCGTGAGGCACCAGTTGCACAGATGTGATGTAGGTAAAGATAGGATTTTGCCTTTAAGAACAGTTCATCCGGAAATGAAAATGCAAACAAGGTAAAATGTGTATTATCTATAGACTGAATTGGTTAATAGCTATGGCATGTACAATACATAGGAATTTGCAAAGTTTTAATACAGAGCATTTGAAAGGAACAGATTTACTTAATTTGGAGTTGCACATAAAGAATAAATAAATGACTGAATCAAGAATAAAGCACTAAATGGACTCTTAGCGTATCTACAGAGCCTTATCGGCAAGACAAGGCTCTGTGTGTAGAAATAAATCCTGCCCAGTCATGACCTTCCTGCACGTGCTGGTTTAATAAATTTGCAAATTAGACAACCTGAAGCAGCCTTGAGCACATGCTGGGAGGACAGGCACAAGGTCTTGTGTGTTGGCAGCGTGCATAGCAACTTGCATAGATATGCCCTCCAAAGCATAAGGGAAAATGACTCTCAATACATTTGTGTGACATCCTCATATCCCAGTTGCAGATTCATGGGCTAAAACAGGGGCAGTTTTCCTACTATTGCCCATTTCATGGCCTCACATAGAAGAGGAGTTGGCAGAGAAATATGGGTAATGAGAAATAACAAAGTAGGAGGATTAATAAAGCTCTATTTGTAAAAATCATTAATTGACTACATCTTCTTCAATGCCAATCCCCGGCATTTAAAAATCTTTTTAATGATTTTCAACTAAGGTTTCAAAACTCCTGGGACTGGCTTATACTTAATGGACTTTTAATAAACTGATGTGTTTTGTTTTTTGTATTTGCTTTTGGAGTTCATGTTTTCATGATGTCCTAAAGTATATTAAAAAGCTTAAATATACCAAATATCCCCAAAACGCATGTTAAATTAAGAGGTGTTACATTACCCCCAGTATCAAAAGGGATGCAGTTCTGACTCTTGGAGGGAGAATGCTTTCTCTGAGCATCTTTGTACAGATGTAGCTATTTTCCACATCTTACATGGAAAGCACAGCCTAATCCCAAATAGTCATTGAGCTATTTAATTACAGAGGATTAGTATCTGCAATACATACAGTTCCATGAATTATTGAAATGGTCAACATTAATGCTTGTCTTATATACTCCATAATAAATGGATTACTCAATATATTAAGCAGTTCATAGTTTATGCATTTATTATGCATTCTTTATAATTATTTGATGAGTAAGTGTTAGAGTCCCTGCTGAATCTTTTTTGATGTTATACATCCTATTATAGCAGCTACATGTATAGTTATAGCTTGCCTATTAGGGATTAAGTTAAGAGAATTTAACTCCCTACAGAAAGATCCAGGATATTGTGCAGTGACTGTACTTGGAGTCGATAAGGATATGGTTCCAGACACAGAAGAACAAAGACACGATATGAGGGATGTGATTTAATTAGGCCAGTGTATTAAGTCATCTGGGAACTATCTAACAATCACTCATACAGTGCAGGTCATGATTTTTTCTGTAAACTGTTCTCTTTGGTGGATAGCTACCACTGGATTCTCATCTCTCCACAACTGATCTCTAGCCAGTTTCCCATTGTCCCTCATTGCACATTATTAGGGGATGCCTTGATTAATGATTTGGAGGATGGGATGCAGTATAGTTACCACATTTGCAGATGATACCAGGCTGAGTCGAGTTGCAGACTCTTTGGAGGATAGGATTAGGGTTCATAATGACCTTTATAAACTGGAAAAATTATTCAAAGTTAATCAAATAAAATTAAGTAAGAGCACGTGCAAAGTTCTGTGCTTGGGACAATTACATGTACAAATACAGATCAGGGAACCACTATTTTGGTTGCAGTGCTGCACAAAAGGTCCTGGGATTATTGTGGACTGTAAAATGTATATGAGCAACTGTGTGCTCTTATTGCAAAGAATGCCAACAGTGTACGAGCTTGTATTAACAGAACTGTCACTTGCAGGTTAAGGGAAGTGATTCTTCCACTGTATTCAGCACTAGTGAAGCCTTGCACAGAGTGCTGTATCCAGTTGTGGGCACTGTACTTCAAGGAAGATGAAAGCAAATTAGAAAGTGGCAAGAAAAGTGAAGGCAACAAAAGTGGAGAGATCAGCAAAATATTGAGATCAGGTAATATGATTTTCAAAGAAAACCTGGAAGAACTGAGAAGACTGAGGTGGAATTTGATAACAGTCTTTAAATACCTGAAGTGTGGTTATAGAGAAGATGGTGATAGACTTTTCTCTGTGGCCACAGAGGAATGGATCTTAAAACTGTACCAAGGAAATTTAGGTTGTAGAATAGGAAGTACTTTCTCACTACCGTGGTTAAATATTGCAACAGATTACCTAGAGAGATTTTGCAATCTCCACCCTTGGAAGTTTTTAAAAGCAGGGTGTGGCAGAATACCATCTCTGTCTCTCCCCAAACTCTGCTATCCGACAATTTGGTTACCATGGTCACTGCAGAGGGCAGACTCTTCTGGTCCCATCAGCTTCAGGTAACCCTGATTTGTAACTTAAGCTGAATACATTCCTGAAGGGGGGGAACCTGCTCCCTCTGCCTACTTGACTGGCATCACACACCTGGGTGGGGGGCTTACGCTCCCTATTGTTCAAGCAATGCCAATATGACTGGGAGGGGGCTAAAGACCCTGCCAGTCTACCCAGCAACCAGTGATGCATTTCAGATTAGTTGGCTGGCAGCCAACGGTTGCTGGCTTTCATTGGACCAGGTAAATGAGGTCATAAGTGAAAAACTGCCCAGGAGGAGGGGTGGTAGCCATGATGAAAACTCACAGAGAGAAGCTGGACCATCTGAAACTCCATCTCTCTTTTGAAACTCATGATCAATGAACTGCTTGCCTTCAGAGGGAATCTCTCCCTGCCTCTGGATGATACTTGTGAGTAAGCTACCTGAAATCTAACTAGCTATATAGCTTGCAGTAACTCAGATGCGTAATCAAAAGCTACCATGCCACTTTGTTCTAAGGGATTTCTCCCTTTGTCCCTGCTCTACCCTGTACCTTATTCCAAACCTACTTCTTGTAACCAATAAAGTTCTCCTTTGTACCTAGCATGGGAGACTTCTTGGGAGAGGGTCTAGATTATGCCTTGGGGTCCCCTTGGTTGGGCTAACTATGGGAGACCACTATTTGTGCTTCAGACTGAGGGAAGCACCCCAAATTCTTGCAGTGGGTCAAATACCTTCAAGAACTACTAGGGCTGTGTTTCCCAGTTGGCACAAGTCCCACATCAGTCCAGATTCTGGGTGGTGACGGTGTTACCCCTAGGCATGCAGGTTGGCCAGATGTGAGGCGCCCCCAGGGAGGCACTCAGAGCCTGAAAGGTGGTTGGGAGCAGTGAGGTGGGTGGCTCAATGCAGGAGCACCCACTACTAGCCCACCACACATGGTAGACAAACACTTGTCTGGAGTGATTTAGATTGGGATGATCCAGTCTTGAGAACAGGGTTGGACTAGATTACCTCTTAAGATACCTTCTAGCTTTAGTTTTTCTATGATACTATTATTGGTGATGCATAGGGGAAGCATGCGGGTGCATGTGCACCCTCTCAGCTTGGCAGTGCACCCCCTGCAAAAAGGTGCCGCTGACACTGCTGGCGGTGCCTGCGGGTGGTCACCACTTCCCACTCCCACCCCCATCACCGCTGGCAGTGTCTGTGGGTGGTCCCCAATCACCACTGGCCACTGCCAACACTGCCGTTGGTGTCTGTGGGTGGTTGCCAACTGCTGGTTGGTGCTTGCCAACTCCCCCTTCCCCCGCTGCTGACAGTGCTGCGGCTACCTGTGGGAACTAGCTGTGCCCCCCCAGTCTCCGGGGGCACGCGGTGTTCATAGATACTATGGTTATATTTCCTTAAATTCACTTCCTTTTCTGTTTTATCAAGGAACAGGATGATTTAAGAAATGAGTATTTGCAGTGGATACCTCCCACCTGCTTAGTTGTAAAAACTTCCAGGGGTCAGTTAGGAAGGCCAAAGCAGCAATGGAACTCAGGCTGGTGACAAAAATTAAAGACAACAAAAAGTCCTTTTTCAGGTTTATGGGGAGCAAAAAGAAGGTGCAGGGTAAAATATGACCCCTACAGGACAGACTAGGGAAATTGGTGACAGATAGGAGGGAAAAGGCTGAACTCTTCAGTGAGTTCTTTGCCTCTGTATTCCTGAACATGGGTCAAGACTAATCTCCCAATTACATTATAGATAGGCAGAGGAGGAACACCAGCCCACCGATGGTCAGCACTGACCTACTAAAGGGACACTTGGAAGAGCTGAATGTGTTTAAGTCATCAGGCCCAGATGATCTTCATCTACAGTTGCTGAAGGAATTGGCCAGTGTCATAGCAAAGCCACTGGCATGGCTGTTTGAGCACTCATGGTGCTCGGGTCAGGTCCCAGAGGACTGGAAAAGGGCCAATGTGGTCCCTATTTTCAAGAAGGGGAGGAAGGATGATCCAGGTAAATATAGGCCAGTTAGTCTCACCTCTATCCTTGGGAAAACCTTTGAAAAAATTATCAAGGATCACATTTGTGGGAGCCCAGTAGGAAAAATAATGCTGAAGGGCAACCAGCACGGGTTCATAGCAGGTTAGCCTGACTGACTAACCTTGTTTCTTTTTATGACCAGATCACAAAATGCTTAGATGGAGGAGTCGAGGTGGATGTCATCTACTTGGATATTAAGAAGGCCTTCGATACGGTATCTCATCCTATTCCCATAAACAGATGGAGCGGCTGCCACATAGATGATTACATGGTCAGGTGGGTGGCAAATTGGCTTAAGGGTTGCACCCAGGGAGTGGTAGTAGATGGGGCGGTATTGACCTGGAAAGATGTGGGCGTGGGGTCCCCCAAGGCTTGGTCCTTGGACCTGTGCTATTCACTGTCTTCACCAGCGACTTGGATGAGGGCGTGGAGAGTACTCTGTCCAAATTTGTGGGTGACACGAAATTATGGGGTACACTGAACACGCTAGTGGGAAGGGATTGAATCCTGGCGGACCTGGACAGGTTGGAAAAGTGGGCAGAAAAGAATAGGATGCAGTTCAACAAAGACAAGTGCAAAGTGCTACATCTAGGGAGAAGGAATCACCAACACACCTATAGGCTAGGGGATGACCTTCTCAGCAGCACAGTGGCAGAAAGGGAACTCAGAGTCATAGTTGACTCCAGGATGAATATGAGCCATCAATGCGACGAAGTAATCAGTAAAGCTAACCACACTCTATCATGAATTAGCAGGTGCATCATGAACAGGTCCAGGGAGATGATACTTCCCTTCTATGTGGCATTGGTCAGGCTGCGGTTGGAGTACTGTGGTCAGTTTTGGGTGCCGCACTTCAAGAGGGATGTGGATAACCTTGAGAGGGTCCAGAGGAGGGCCACTCGTATGGTTAGGGGCCTGCAGGTAAGGCCCTATGAGGAGAGACTGAGGGACCTGGATCTCTTTAGTCTTTGCAAGAGAAGGTTGAGAGGTGATCTTGTGGCCATTTACAAATTCATTGGCGGGGGAGGCAGGGCAGGGCAGCAAGAAATAGGAGGTGGTGTTTAGCAGGGCATAACCAGGAACAATGGCCACCAACTGACAGAGAGCAGATTTATGATGGACATTAGGAAGAACTTTACGGTAAGGGTTGCTAGAATCTGGAATGGGCTCTCAAGGGAGGTGGTGCTCTTCCCTGCTTTGGGGGTCTTTAAGAGGAGACTGGACAAGCACCTGGCCGGGGTCATATGACCCCAGTGCTCTTTCCTGCCCAGGGCAGAGGGTTGGACTCGATGATCTGTTGAGGTCTCTTCCGACCCTAACAACTATGAAACTATGAAACTTAAGACTTACCTTATGACCTACCCCACTATGAGGGCAGGGCTGTGATTGGGTTAAAGCAATTTTCTTTGTCAGATAGTTGAAGTTCTGAGGTTCCTTCCTGCTGCCAGAGACTAGGTCTTGTGCTTCACCTCATCAAGCAGTCTAGGCGAGCAGCTTTGAAATAGAGATTTGCCAGTGTTAATCTCAGGGGTTGTGGCAGGAAAATAATATTGTGTTTGGAGTGCCTGAGTCCCTGGAAAGAAACTGAGTGGGAGGACAGCTGCTTCTGGGACAGGGCAAACATACCTTACCAGATGTTTTTGCAAGATGAACTTTTCTGTTTCATTTATTAACATCTCTGTTCAAAGGAACAGGGTTTGTGGACACTTTTAAAATTAGCAAATGTTATGAAGAAAATATCTTACTCCTGTACCAATATCTCTTCTGAACAAACAGGAAATCAACGTACTGAATTCTGCTACTATTCAGCAGAGTGGCAAGAGGATGAAACAAATACTATAGTGTAGACTATTAGGCACAGTTCAGTAGGCTTTGAATTGTTAATGCCCTTTTTGGCAATATCTTTATTGTCTATGGCATGTGGCAACTTGAAATGGCATTTGAGATGGGTGTTTCACTAAACTAATTCATACTTGTCAACTCTCAATTAACCTATGAGACTCTACATTTCTCTTGCTCTTAAAATGGCTGATTTATGTTCTCTTAGGTTAAGAAAAATAACATCACTTACTTTCATGTCAATAGTACTTTTAGATGTCCCTTCCACTTCTTCTCCTATGTGCTTTAGAATTTTTGCTTTTATAGGTGGATGCTTATACCAGTATGTGATATTATGTACCAGTATTTTACTATGAAAAAAATGACCAGTATCTGTTTACTTTTATTACTAAATACTTGTAATTTAGTAGTGCCATATTCTGCACTCTTGTGCAAAACTTGAATAAATACCTCTTGTGCTGTAGATGCATGGGAATGAATCTATGAAATCTTCCTTCACAGGGTAGAGATTGTTCATCAGGCCATAAACCTTCTCCATGGAGACTTTTTTCCAATAGCATCATGTAGTTGCTAACCTAGGGGAAATATCCTGCTGACCTGAGAATGCAGACAAATGTAGCACTTCTAGCAGTTGTCACAGGGGATATCTGCTGAAAGCTGATTGCTTGCTCGTGTTCAAAAACCGGTACTGATTCTGACCTCAGGGCACATGGCTGTGGAACACAGAACGTCCAGAAAGTCTTCATGGCAGGCAATAAATATGTGGATGAGGACAACTGTGACCTGTCACCCTGGGCAGTAAAATCCTGCTCTAAGGCCAGAATAGCTCAGAAGGGAGGGCAGTGGGAAATGCTGCATTATGGGATACCTGGAGGACTGCCTGGCCCACTTGTCATTGGACACTGCAGTGGTGATAAATGTACAGAGGTCCTTTGAGATGTTCTGACAATTTCCTTCCAGTATACTTTTGGCCAGTTTTGTCATGGTCTAGGGCCCAAGCAGTTCTGTATACATTATGTCTTGGGATAAAAATATTTGTCCTGCAACAAAACATGACAAGTGCAGTGTCCGTCCGTACTCTAAATCTCTGTTTCTTCCCACTGAAGAGAGAGTCTGCTTGGAATAATCCTTGTATGTAAACTGTCTGTAGATTCTTTTCTTGCCCAAGAAAAAGGATCTGTGGCAGCTGTAATATCCTGAAAGGTCTATGGAGGGATCAGTGGCATGATTTGGCTCTTTGCCAAATGCATATGCATTTTGAAGGAATAGGTTCTACTCTTAGTTTTAGCCAACAACATACCTGCTGTTCAGCTGCAGTTCTATACTGATTTCAGGGATCCTGGTTTTCTCTGTTAAAAAATAGCACATCCTCTGATAACCCCCTTGCAAATTCTCCAATTAACCGCCCCCCAAATCTGTGTTTTTCTGTGATTGAAGTGAAACACAACTATATATTTTCAATGGGAGGCTCATATAATATCTCTCTCTATATGTATATGTATATGTATATGTATCTACATTAAACTCTCTGGTAACTGGCATCTTACAAGCTGGCATGCTCTGTTAACTGGCATGCCAGCTTGTAAGGAAAAGTGAAACAGGAAGTGCCTACCATGGCACTTTTGGGTTCCATGAGCCCCCACGGCCTCGGGCAAAGAAGCCTGCGCTGCTGAGCCCCCATGGCCCGGGGGCATAACAGGCTGTGCGGGGCTGTGCGGGGCCTGTCTCTCTGTCCTGTGGGGCCCAGAGGGCCTGCAGGAGGGGCGGCGATGCCACGGGAGGGGCGAGAGGGGTGGAGGGAGGCGGCGGGAGAAGTAGCAGCCGGGGTCGCTTAACTAACAGGCATATTTTGTTATCTGGCATCCCCCATTCCTGGGGGATGCCCGATAACAGAGCTTTTACCGTGTATATATATATATATATATCTGTATAGATATATATCTTTATCTATATCTATCTATATATAGATCTGTATATTGATAGCTATATATCTATCTGTTGAATACAAAGTTTTATTGATATATTTACAATTTTAAAGCAATTTAGAATTCTAGCAGTGTCTCAATCATTATGATAAAATAAATTCTAAATACCTATAAATATTTGCGTTTGACTTTGGGTTTTTTATCAAGGAAAATCAGAGCTCCCCCTGCTCCCTTTGCTCACCAGGACATGGGTCCAGCTGTGGCTGTCGCACACCACTGCTTTGTGGTGCTGAGCAGCCCTGATAGGCTGGTTCCCTGCCCATGCCTTTGCTTTTCACTCTCAAGCCACATCCCGCTAGCCCTGCCGGTGTCCCTCACTCCCCACCCATAGCCTCCTAGGCCCTGCCAGTGCCCCTCACTTGCCATCCACAGCCTCTCCACCCCTCTCGGTGCCCCTCGCTCCCCACCCACAGCCTCCCACCCCCAGCTTGGGTGGTGTGTGGGGCTTGGGGCCCAGGGCCAGAATGTGTGGTGGCAAGACCCAGGCAGGGAGCAAGACGGAGCCATGGGAAACTCATTGGGGTGGAGGGGTGGCTCTGTGCCGCTGTATGCATTTCTGGGGGTGGGGCATGGGGGTCACGTGCTCCTCAGATTTGTGTGTGTAGAGGGGGGACTGCCTGCTGCAGGCTCAGGCTCTCTGCCCTGCTGCCCTCCCCCTGGGGCCTCCACAGCCTAGTGGGTATGACCTGGCATGGCAGGGCAGAGTGGGGCTGGGTGAGGAAGCTCTTTGCCACTGCTGGGACACTGTGCCACCATTGTGAGGCACCCCCTGCCCCCTTGGCAGCAGCAAGGGACACAACTCCATGCCACCACCCTTGCTGCTGCCAGATGGGTAGGAGTCACTTTGTCATGGCAGCTTGGGGCTGCTAGTGATGGCAAAGATCTTCCCTGCCTGGCCCTGGTCTATCCTGTCATGTTGGGTCCTACCCACTGGGCTCCTGAGGGGGAGAGCAGCAGGGTAGGGAACATAGGTAGAGGAAGAAAATTTGATTGGAGGGCTGAGTTTGTGTGCACCCCCAGCAAGTAAGTCTGTCGTGGGGAAGGGGCATGGTGGGGAGTGGGGGAAGATCAAGGCACCCACGGTGAGGGAATGGAGTTGGACAGAGACAGGGGCTGGGGTGAATGGGGCCCTGTTTGCATGTTCCCCCCCGACTAAGGTGGCACCAGTTGCCCATGATACTGATAGTTATTTTCATTGTTAAATTTCTGTTTGAATATTTTAAAATCAACTTAATGATTCCCTAGAAGAAAAATATGCAACATTAATTTTCACTTTCTACCTTTTTTGCAAAGAACTCAGAAAGGTGACAACAGGTCAGAATGTTTTGACACCATGGGTGCATCCAGATGAGTGCGGCTGTGCGGTATGTGGAGCCACTAACATGTCTTCAGTGTCACATACCGCACATTCAGGTGTTCTCTATGCTGCAAGGGCATGCTGCCTGTGCATGCGCTGCTCTTTTTTTTTTCCTGTGGGTTTTTTCAAAAGAACCTGCGGAAAGAAAAACAGGAGCAGTGCATGCACAGGCAGCACATGCCAAGATAGTTGGTATTTGGGGACACTAGCCCCTGGTGCCAGCTGGACTGCTAAAGCAGCCCTAACCAGCAGCAGTCTGACAGTAGGGGCTGCTAACTGGCTGTGACCTGCTACAACCTGCAACAGCATGGAATCTGCAGCAGCTGTGATCTGCTGCAACCTTGGACCTTCAGCCCCATGACTGTGCGCTTGCCAGACCCAGACAGGGACCACGCAGATGCCTGGGCTGTGGTACGGGCACTGTAGCAGAGCTTCTTGCACTCTGGGCCAGCTGCCAGCAGGCCGTGGCTGTACAGTTGGCTTTTGTGAAGAACTGCTGTCATGTCTTCTGGTGTCTCTGCTCTGCCACCTGGGCAGGTATTGCCCAGAAGATGTGCTCCTTGCTGTGGCTTGCTTTGAACTGTTGAAGCATGCCCTCCTGGCCCCAAATGGCCAGGTCAGCCACCTCATCTGTCCTCCACCTGGGTACCCAGTGCTGGTCCTGGGCAGGCTCCTCTGCCTGTGTTCTGCCGCTTGGATCACCAGCAGGGATCCTGGTGCTCCCTGTTTAAGAATTACAAATTCTCTGAATAAAAAGCCTCAAATTCTCTCATTAAAATACCCCAAATCCACGTTCTTCCACAATTAAAATGAAAGGCCACTATATATAGAGACATCAGTTCAGCAATGTTTTATTGATATATTTACAAGTTTAAAGCAACTTGGAAGCCTACCAGTGCCTCTATCATCATAGTAAAACAAATTCTAAGTATCTATACACTTTGGAGTTTGCTTTTGGTTTTTTTTATCATAGAAAATTCAGAGCTGCCCCTACCCCCTTCACTCACCAAGATGTGGGGTGCTCAGCAGCACTGATATGCTGGTTCCCTGACCCTGCCCTTGCCCCTCCCCCCAAGCCCACAGCCCTGCCAGTGCCCCTCACTCCTGACCTGCAGCCCCTGCCTGCCTGCCCCCACTAGCTCCCTCCCAGCTGCAGCTCTGTCCCAGCACCAGGACACAAGTCCAGCTGCTGCTGTCCCACCCACTGCTTTGTGGCTCTGAGCAGTGCCAGCCCTTGCTGTTCTGCTCCCTGTGCCTGTGTCCAGGCCCCAGTGATCCCCATGCTGTTCCTGGGAAGCCCTTGACTGGGGCTCAGGGACTGGGCTGGGCAAGCCCCTTCCCTTCCAGACCAGTCTCCCCCTGCACAGGCTCAGGGTGCTCTAGGGGGAAGGGGGACTCAAACCCTGACTCTGGCAGCCACTCCTTATTGGATTGCTCCCCTGTCCCTGACCCCCACTGTGCTCTCTCTCACACGCACCTCTTCTGCTACCCCCACCCCTCCCCCTAGCTCATCACATCTCCCAAGTGGTTCTTGGGACCAGAAGCCCCCACAGGCTGTGGCTGCATGTCCCAGCACTGGTGTGGACATGGGGTAGAGCTGCAATGTGACAGTTGTCCTTGCAGTTGCAGCTCCTGCCAGCAGGCCCTGTCCTATCCTGTCTGGTGGCTGGGCATGCAGGGTGTGAGATTTGTGGGAGGGATATGGAGTTAGGCAGGGAAGGGGTGTGGGGGGTGGGTGTGGGGTTTGTGCGTGGGTGTAGGGGTAGGTGTAGGGTTTGTGAGGGTGAGGTTTGTGGGAGCAGTGTGGAACTTGGGGTGGTGTGGGGTTTGTGGGTGGAGGGTTTATGGGGATGGTCCCACTCTGCCCTGCTGCCTGTGAAGGTCCTGAGGGGAGGACAAGCCCCTTCCAGACCAGTCTCCCCCTGTACAGGCTTCTGGCATCTGTTCCAGGTAAGTGGGCTTGAGGGCATGTACCTTCTGCCTGTGGTGCCAGGAGTCCTGGGTGACAGCAGGAGCTAGCCTGGTTCTGCTCAAGGGCATGCAGGCTGGGCCAGTGCCATGTGCAGCCACCAGTCTCAGGCAATGCCACACTGCTGGGGGTCTCTGCCAGGAGTGGGCATAAGCGCCTCAAGAGCTGCTGCTGCTGCTGGGGGGTGCAAATGTGAGCCATGTGGGGGGCAGATGGGGGACCCACACCTTCTGAGCAGTCCCTCCACCCACACAGACCCCCCCCTTACATCCCTACTTACCTGGGACAAAGCCTGGTTTTGATTCACTGCTGCAGCCTTTCCCTGCTTCTATTTTCCCCAGCACACTGAGGCAGAATGCTGGAACAGCAGGGACATGCAGCAGCCATAGAGACACTCTGGTCGTGTGCCTTTGGTTACTTCAGGACACGCTTCAGCACCGCTGGTAACTCTCGCTCACCAACCACAGCTCCCTGGCCCTGTTGGTGCCCCTCACTCCCCACCCATGGCCCTCAACCCCCAGCCCTGTCAGAGCAGGGGCCCAGTTGCCAGGGCGATTGGGTCTGCAGTCCTCCCGCTCCCCACAGCAGGGCCTGAGCCCTAGCTGCTGCCAAAAGTAGGCAGTGGCTATGGTGGCAGAGTGGAGTACAGAGGCTGGCTCCCCCTCCCCCATGGGCAGTATGGCTGGAGCAGAGTCCATTGTGGGGCTGGGTGCAGGCTGCCTGCTGTGGGCTTGGAGCCCCTCACCCTGCTGCCCTCCCCTCAGGACCTTCACAGCCCAGTGGGTGAGACCCAGCAGCAGGGCAGAGTGGGACCAGGTGGGGAAGCTTGGTGACAGTGCTGGGAGCTCCACACCATGATGACAAGGCACCCTCTGCCTGTCTGGCAATAGTGAGGGGCACAACTCCACGCTGCTACCTCCGCTGCTGCGTGGCAGGCAGGGGGTGCCTTGCCATGGTGACATGGGGTTCACGGCAGTGGTACCAAGCTTCCACGTCTCACTCTGCTCTGATGTGCCAGGTCCTGCCTAGTGGGCTGTGGAGGCCCCGGGGGCATGGTAGCAGGACAGGTTGCTCAAGCCTGAAGCGAACAGCCTGCCATTCACAGAAATCAAGGGAACATGTGCCCCCCATGCCCTTCCCTGGGAGGTGCCCACAGTAGCAGGGAGCCAGCTCCCTCCCCCCCCACCTTCCCCCAACAAGTCGCTCATGGTGCTGTCCTGCTCTTCACCAGTTAGGATAGTTTGTCACATTTAGCTTTAGTTGCACCTGCTTGAATGGTGAATTATAGTTTTATTTAAACTTTTATATTCAGCCTTATTTAACCATTGTTTAAGTTTTTGAATAGCCTCATTATTATTTGAATTTTTCTTTTGCATCTTGTATCTGTGCTATCAGCTATAGCCTTGAGCTCGCTTTCACAGGAAGCTTGTGTTCCAGCGTTATCAACATATTTGTGCTAAATATAAGCCTTGTTACTAGCTCAAATTAACTG